CAGTTAAATGAGCCCATTTTGAATCTGAGATATTCGACAGCTTGGCTAAACTTCTAGGCTTCAACAGAATACGTTACACTGCACATTATCGTTAGGCTGATAGAATGGTAGTACTTGTTCACCATCAGTTAAAGGCTGCTTTAATATCACACTCAAACCCATACAATGAATAGCTGTAGAAATGCGTTCAATCAATCTCACACATAGTTTGATATAGTGGTTTGATTATCTAAATTACAACAGGTAGGTAATAAAACATTTATTGGTCCTATGATAATGTCACATCCAAATGTACCCCTTTGTTCATTGGAGTCATCCTTTCGTTAAATGATGTCTTGCATAACCAAAGTTATGACTTCTAAGAATAAGGTTTTGCCTGGTTTCTTTTTGATAAAAAAAGCTTACACAAATGTGCATGTGTGTATGTAATACGACTCTGAAAATAGCCAGGAGTTCAAGCGAGACATGTAATGTGACAAACCGACCTTTTGATACTTCAACTTACCGGAAGATAACTTCGGTGGTCCCATGTACATCGCAAGTTATGGCTCTCCTGAAACTCGGTTTTTTGACCTAAAACTAAAGATCTGGGATTATTTGAAAGTGAGAAGTTGGAAACTAGGGGAAAAAATCGAACCTCGCTGTACAAAGACTGGCTCTTCACTGACAACGAATTCCCAACTGAATACTTTTCCTTTCTCGACCTTTCTGGAAAGCAGATATGACGCTGTCATGGATTTTAATTTTACTGGCAGATCTGGACTGAAATGTGTTACTGAATACGGTCGTTGTAATTTCAAGTGTTTAAATGTCAGCCATAAAGGACAATTGACGCCAGGTTGACTTGGAAGCTTACATTTAATTTGAACTCGATACTTACACAGGCTTCTTCATGCTCACAGTCTTACATGGTACAAATCAGTCTGTCTTGCAAACAGCCCCTAAAACTAAATCGACCTAAAGTCATAAGGAATCACGGCCTTCCAATGCCTGGACTCAAAAGATACCAGTGGGCTGAATATGAACGAAGCAATAATGACGGCATATATAGGCACTCCAAACAAGCATGAAACCAGTGCACACAGGCACCAAGAAAAGATAAGCATAGATACCAGATTAGGCTGGTCTGTAGATCGGCCTCTAGCTGGGAGAAATTATTCCGTACACCCATTTTTAGAAGCCCAAACCGAAGTTTCCGAGTTGCTAGGTCTTAGTAACCCAATGAAAAACGATGGCGATGCTCCGAAGTCGTGATAAAAAGGTATTTTTCAACGCTTTAGCTATCACATACAATGTGCATTGGCTATGGATTCATTTGCAGTTCAGAAGCAGTCTTCGAGGTAAACCTAAGCACTGGGTTGATGTTTCAGAAACCGCAGCGTCTAAATACGGGCACTTCTCGTGTCTCCGATATGGTCTACCCTGGCTTACCGAGAGAAGCGGCTCCAATTGCAAAAACACGTAAGTGTAATGTCCTCACATAAGCAGAATTATGCTGTGATCCCAAACAATAGTCAGCTGACTTATATTACGATGTTCTTCAAAAGAGACTGATGCAGTCAAACTACAAACTAATAACAGACAGCACGTTCTTCAGCATCCTTAAATGTAGTGGAGTCTTTGATACACAATAGTTTGCGCAACTACTTGTTGTCCATAGTATTCTTTCACTCCAACAACACGGCTTCAGGAAGTACCACTACTGTACTGCTAATCTGTTGATTGTTATGGATGGACAACTATCTTCGACTTGAAGATGAACATGATATATCTCGATTTCTCAAAAACATTTGATGGGGTCAGTTACATACGTGTAGATCACTAACGTAGGTGATCCGTGTCGAATAACTGGGGGCCTACTCGGGTTGGAGGGGAATAATATGGCCAACAAGCTGATGTCAAAGCCCCACCACGATATTAGTACCGAACGTCGATTACCTTTTCTTCGTATCCAGTTACTACGACTGCTTTGATGACTATACAACACAAACAACGTTATTACGGAAATATGTTAGTGAGAATAGGTACGGTAAACAGAGTACAACCACTGTTGCATGGGCCAGTCCAAGGTGTGCAATTAACTGGTGCACGTTGATTGCCCTTAACTTTGACGAGGATCGGTGAACTGTTCGACATTCCATGACCCGATTGTCGGATGATTTGGCTGGGGTCCAGTGACATTTGATCGGCCCTACATGTGCCTCGTCAGCAAGTTCAAGCTGTTAGGCATCAAATCCAAATAATCGGCAATTGGGAACCAAGGTAAACTTCACCTTTTCTCGGGTTGACCTAGTAGGGTCCTCCAGGGTTTAGTGCCAGAACCCTTTCTTTTGTGGATTTATACCGAAGACCATCCGTAGAAAATGTTCGATTTATTACTCTCCACTGATGTTAAACTTTGCAGAAGTCTATAACCAAAATAATAATTTGTGACTTCAAGAGGACCTGAATCGACTTCCGTGTCGGGCTGATGACAGAGGACTTACCTCCAACACTTCAAATTGTATAGTATTCCGTCTGAGAAATGCTATAAACTACACGTATAACTTAGGCAACTCCGCCTCAGAGGAATCTTAGGCTGAAAATAAACTGATAGTCCTGATATCCGATGGTCTATAGTCTATCTGTGACAGAAATGCCTTTCGAACAAACCTTGCACTGGTAATGTTAAAGTGCATTTTTGACAAGTTCGACAGTAAAAATTTCAACTCGATCTTTAACAGTTTTATTTGGCCCCATTTAGCATACGAAACAACTTTTCTTCCTTCATCTCAAAAGGATTAGAATATTCCGAAATATACCCAAAGGAGAGCTACTATTTGCGAGAAGTCAGGTCTTATAGTTAGTCGTCGACCGAGATTGTTCTGGAGTTATTCATTGGGAAGCCAGAGAAATTCTTCATTACTCTTTGAGCTATTCGAACATCTGTCGAATTATTAATGTCAATCACAATAATTACATTTTCATCACTAAATTGAACTCCGCCTGTAGCTCTTCTAGAGTTACTGCTGATCCCATGCCCGGGTAAAGGAGGAGCGTTGGGCATGGAGTTAGCGACCACATCCCGTAGAAAAGCTAACTCGCTAAAAAAACGCTAACCAGAAAAAATAATTCAAACCATTTAAACTCTGCCCTCCAAGTTGAAGGAATAATGACGTCTCATGATGAAAGCCGAAATTCTTCGGAAGTCACGAGATCGATGCACCTTCTAACAACCAGAGCAACGCTCTTTATAAGTACATGGAACGTCCGGACAATGTGAGAGACAGGAAAGACCAGCCAAATAGCAATGGAAATGAGGAGATACAACTTGGCAGTACTCGGAATCAGCGAAACCCATTGGACACAAACTGGACAACAAAGTCTAAGTACAGGAGAGATGCTGCTGTACTCCGGTCACGAAGGGGAAAATGCTCCACACACCCAGGGAGTTGCTCTAATGTTGTCCAAAGAAGTACGAAATGCACTTGTGGGATGGGAATCTCATGGACCCAAGATAATCAAAGCATCATTCAGGGCAAAGAAGCAAGGGATCACAATGGACGTTATCCAATGTTATGCACCCACCAATTATAGCAACGACGATGATAAAGATCAGTTCTATGAAAGGCTGCAATCAATTATGGAGAAGTGCTCACGAAAGGACCTCACCATCCTTATGGGAGATCTAAATGCTAAAGTCGGAGTGGACAACACAGGATATGAAGATATAATTGGACGACATGGATTAGGAGAGAGAAATGAAAATGGGGAGAGACTTGCAAACCTATGTGCATTCAACAAATTGGTTATAGGCGGCACAATATTCCCACACAAACGCATACACACAGCCACATGGATCTCACCGGACCAAACCGCAGAGAACCAGATAGATCACATCTGTATCAACAAAAAATTCCGAAGATTAATGGAAGATGTGAGAACCCGGAGAGGAGCTGACATAGGTTCAGATCACCACCTGGTTGTGGCCAAGATGAGACTGAAGCTAAAGAAAGACTGGACAACTGGACAAACAGCACCACAAATGTTCAATACAGCCTTCCTTCGAGATACTGACAAGCTCCATGAATTCAAGATAACTCTCAACAACAGGTTCCAAGCTCTACAGGACCTACTGAAAGAACAAGAAACTACTTTGGAGGACAACTGGAAAGGGATAAAAGAAGCCCTAACTTCAACGTGTCAGGAGGTTCTTGGTCCTAAGAAGCATCATCATAAGGAATGGATCCCTATGAGAACCCTGGACAAAATTCAAGAAAGGAAGAACAAGAAACTAGCAAATAGGTCGTGCACAGACCAGATTGCGACACTACGGATCATCGTGGAACAATCAGTTGAATGGAACTATACGTCAACTTCATCGACCATGAGAAGGCGTTTGACAGCGTGGATAGGAGAACATTATGGAAACTTGTTCGACACTATGGAGTTCCTGAAAATACGAACGTCAAGACAGTCCTACTGTATGGAGCTGAAACGTGGAGAACTACTACGGCCATCATCAGGAAGATACAAGTATTTATAAACAATTGTCTACGCAAAATACTCAACATCCATTGGCCGGATACTATCAGTAAAAGCGTTTTATGGGAGAGGACAAACCAGCTTCCAGCTGAAGAGGAAATTAAGAAAAGACGTTGGAAGTGGATCCGACATACATTAAGGAAATCATCAATGTGCATCACGACTCAATTCCTAACTTGGAATCCGGAAGGGAAGCGGAAAAGAGGAAGGCCAAAGAACCCACTACGCCGGGAAATAGAAGCAGATATGAAAAGGCTGAATAGCAACTGGAAAGAACTGGAAAGGAAGGCTCAGGACAGAGTTGGATGGAGAATGCTGGTGAGCGGCCTATGCTCCTCGACGAGGGGTAACAGGCGTAAGTAAGTAAGATACTAATCGGTTCGATGATCTAAAGGATTTTCATTCTAATAGAATGGAAAATAGTCTGAAAAAAGCCTGTTCCTATTTTATCACAACCTGAACTTTGAATCTTCCTTAGTTTAAACGTAGTTTCGTGAGCGTTGCAAATTGATTGTTGACGGTGGTTACTTTCGTTTCTGGTTAGGCTTAGTATGTGTGCACTAAATGCGTAAGTCTAAGCGTTGTTTTTTAGAAGAAATATCATATGATTTTGTCGAACTAATATGATAATCGTACCTATAATTCAATAACAGGAATCCAAGTAATGATCCTTCATCGGGAGAAAAAGTCAAATTCCATCGTTTGATTGTTGACGAACCGGTGAAAGATGATAACTCGGTCGTTTATTTATCTCAGGTGAGTGTACTTTCTTAATAAACATTATCTTCTAGGCCAAGATGGATAGTATGAATTTGTTTCGTGGTGATACTGTGTTGGTCAAAGGTAAAAAACGTAAAGAAACGGTATGCGTGGCCATTGTGGACGAGAGTTGCCCGGACGACAAAATTCGTTTAAATCGTTGTATTCGCAGTAATCTACGAGTAAAGCCAGGAGACATTGTCAGTATAAAAAGTCTTCCTGACATCCTCTACGGTAAACGCATCCACGTTCTGCCTATTGACGATACTATTGTTGGTCTTACGGGGTAATTTCTTTCGTGTCATAATGAATCTCTAGAAATTTATATGAAGCTTTTCTAAAACCATACTTTTTGGCTGCCTACCGACCTGTACATAAAGGCGACATATTTATCGTACGTGGTGGAATGCGAGCTGTTGAATTCAAAGTAATTGAAACAGACCCATCACCTTATTGCATTGTTTCCCCCGATACCACTATTCACACGGAAGGAGATCCAGTTAAGCGAGAGGTATGTGCGGCTTGATTACTTATTATTCACTTATAGGACGAGGAAGAAAAGCTGAATGAAATAGGTTATGACGACATAGGAGGTTGTCGTAAGCAGCTGGCTCAAATAAAAGAAATGGTCGAGTTACCTCTTCGTCACCCTCAGCTATTCAAGGCTATAGGTGTAAAACCTCCTCGCGGAATACTCCTCTATGGACCCCCTGGTACTGGAAAAACCTTAGTTGCTCGGGCAGTAGCCAATGAAAGTGGAAGCTTTTTCTTCTTAATTAATGGTCCGGAGATAATGTCGAAATTGGCCGGCGAGTCAGAATCTAACCTGCGCAAAGCGTTTGAAGAGGCAGAAAAAAATGCACCAGCCATTATCTTTATTGATGAACTTGATGCGATCGCTCCCAAGAGGGAAAAAACTCACGGTGAGGTAGAACGCCGCATCGTTTCCCAATTGTTAACATTAATGGATGGTTTAAAACAACGAAGCCATGTAATTGTCATGGCTGCTACAAATCGTCCCAATAGTGTTGACCCCGCGCTGAGACGCTTTGGTCGTTTTGATCGTGAAATAGAGATAGGTATTCCTGATAGTATTGGAAGATTGGAGATTTTGCGGATACACACCAGAAATATCCGGCTGGCTGAAGATGTTGAACTTGAGAAAATAGCCAATGAAGCTCACGGTCACGTGGGAGCTGATCTAGCTTCATTGTGCTCAGAAGCTGCCCTTCAACAAATAAGAAATAAAATGAATCTCATTGACTTGGAAGACGACACAATTGATGCCGAAGTATTGAACTCGTTGGCGGTAACGATGGATGACTTCCGTTGGGCCTTAGGAAAGAGTAATCCGTCTGCTCTTCGCGAGACCACAGTTGAGGTACCTAATGTCACATGGGATGATATTGGTGGGTTAGAAAATGTAAAACGAGAGCTCCAGGAACTGGTTCAGTATCCTGTTGAACACCCTGACAAGTTCCTGAAATTTGGCATGACTCCTAGCAAAGGTGTCCTGTTTTATGGTCCTCCAGGCTGTGGTAAGACATTGTTGGCGAAGGCGATTGCGAATGAATGTCAAGCTAATTTTATCAGCATTAAAGGACCTGAACTCCTTACTATGTGGTTTGGTGAATCTGAAGCAAACGTTCGGGACATTTTTGATAAAGCTCGGCAAGCGGCACCGTGTGTGCTTTTCTTTGATGAACTGGACTCGATTGCCAAAGTAAGTAGCATTTCAACACTTCATTTGATTGAGTTTGTCTACATATAATGCTTATATAGCAAGTCTATTTGTGTTTAAGAAGTGTTGTTTAATTAGCAGGCATTTCAAATCAACTTGAAATTCCATATTTTGCGAGACCTACGTTGCCCAGGTCTGATTTGATGAAACGCTATGGATTTGACTAAGTTTGTTGTCTCCCGTCCGTTTTGCTTTACATGCGATAAATCAATTGGCTTGCAATAAAGTGTTGTTCAGCTTATCAAAAGTGTGACTGAAACTCCACGTCAGTACTAACAAGAAAGATTAAAATAATCGTAAAAGTGCCATATCCAGGAACAAGTGCACTCCTACTGTCGCATTCGGATATTCTTAGTTACTCTTTCAAATACTAGTTTCTGACGTCTTGATAGTCGCTTGTAGGCTCAAATTCCTGTTCAGTATTGTTGTACTAATCTAGTTCAGTTAACCTACAACTCTGATCTTAGTTTCTACACCTGTAGACATTAGAGACAGTTGAGAGATGGCAAAAATGTTTGCATAGCTGTCCATAGGGTCACGTTTATTCAACCAACTCTTGCCCATATCCGATTCTAACGTAATGTATAGGCAACTTACTAGTGTTTTTGTCCTGTATACTATGTATTTAGTCGGTGAACCATCCCCTACATTAAGTTCTGTCACTATTTCTCTTAATTTTTGCACAAAAAAACCCAGTAGGTGCTTTTCCTAATCAGTACGTAGTTTTTACGCTATGGCTGTTGGGTAAGCGTCTGATTCATTGATTAACTTCACAGAATTTTTTTAATGAGATATGGAGCAAGGATATTAAAATGTTGCCAAGTTTTTAATGCGAGATAGTCACTGCTAATTGATTAACAAATAATTAGATGGTTAGCTATTTATTGCATATCTCTTCATGCCAGTAAATGTTACTCTGATATTCTCGTCCCAATAAGCGCGTTTCCCATTGCAATGTTCACTTCCATAGGCTCGTGGAGGTAGTGTTGGTGATGCTGGAGGTGCTGCTGATCGTGTTATCAACCAACTCCTAACCGAAATGGATGGTATGTCTGCTAAAAAGAACGTTTTTATCATCGGTGCTACTAATCGCCCAGATATTATTGATGGGGCCATCTTGCGTCCTGGAAGACTCGACCAACTCATTTACATTCCACTGCCAGATGAAGCCTCAAGAGTTAATATTCTAAAAGCTAACTTAAGAAAATCCCCAATTGCAAAGGTAAGTTATTACTTTTTGTCTAATTCTCATTAATGAATCATTTCAATATCGGTCTCCGACATTTTTAATGAAAGTCTAGAATCTGTAAACCTTACTGCACCAAGCATAAGGGCGCCCTTCGATGATATTAGGAAAGTCACCATGTTCTGAATTTTCTGAATCATAAAGTGTAACTCGAATTTCAGTCCTGGTTTGTTGGGAATGTCTTCTGGTACACTTGGTGGTACTAATGTCGATTCAAAGTAGTGAGTGTGCACCTTTGGGTTCTAAGTATGAAGGTGGGAGAAACTTAGTTTCCTTCGGTTCAGGTATTCTGTATTCGTACTACCCGTTATATGACTCAGAATCAGAGATATAGTAGCTATCAGTACGTAAACCGAATTCTTTCTACATTTATCACAGAACTCCATTTAGTTACAGACCCACGGTACTGTACTCCTTCCCACTTGAATCTTGTAATTAATGGTTACTCAATACTCTAATAACTTATCTAGGTTACCATCACGTGAAGTGCTTTGTACTACAAAGCTTCAAAGTGTTTGTCAAATATTCTAACTGCTCGCTTTAGGGAGTTACCATGCTGTTGATCTAATTAAGTTCCTCTTAATTATCTGATGTTGAATGTTGCAATTTGAACTTGTTCCTCTCATCACATGTTGTATGGGAGTAATTTAAGTTTTCGCGCCGAATTCGGCTGCGAAATAGCATAAAACTGAATATTATGCTATCGATGATACTCTTGAATCTCTGAAAAGCCATCTTGCTTATCCTTGCCGCACCAACATATTGTACCTTTTTGCTATTCCAGTGACCTGAAGTAGTCTTTTTAGCTAAAATTTTCTGAAAAGTGACTTCAGAATAGTGCTTGTATTGCCAGTGTGTAGAACTTAAGGACTTATTTATTTATTTAAACACAAATATTGGTACAAGGAAACACCAGATAAATATGCGCCTCACAAATCTCATTTGATTTGTGTGAGGGCTGTGATACTACCCAAGTGCCCAAACTGAAGCAGGTGGTTTTCTTGGGGGGCCACACCCGGAGCCTTTGACCTGAATGTCTAATCCACAAGGCAGTGGAGCATCGTGAGGAGATGCGGTCTCATGGTAGCCGGTGACCAACAATTGATTCATATGCCATTTGTTCCCTCAGGATACTGGAGCCCATGTGCACCATTGGTTTGGAATCAGGGTTTTCCAACTCCCCTAGGTGGACTCTCCGTGTCCACCAACCCGGTTGAAGCGCCGGACAATCGCTTTTCTTCCTCTCAGTTTCGTAAACAACACCGATGCCACGAGAAGGCAGTGAGTAGGACTTCCCTGGCAGAGGCTATATATTCGCGTGGCCATATGAGAGCATTTCGAAAGGGAGAGCAGACTCCCCACTCTCGACCGTACCAGGGCATTTGGGGCCGAATCAGAACTCGAATCATTTTTTTAAGTGGTTGTTCCTATGCATTTTCAGTTAATTTAACGGTTTATTTGTTAGTATTACACTTGAGACAAATTTCTCGTCTAAAATTGAAGGATTTGGGTAAGAGAGATTTCAGATTTTACAACGAAATCTTTTTAACTGTTTAACAAGCATTTACTGACTCTTGGTCTTTTTCATATTAGGATGTTGACATTAATTTCCTAGCAAAAGCTACTCAGGGGTTTTCGGGTGCTGACCTCACAGAAATATGTCAGCGTGCATGTAAACAAGCAATACGTGAGTCTATCGAGGCGGAGATACGTGCTGAATCTGAGAAAAAAAACAAGCCTAATGCTATGGTGAGTTATTTTTTAGATATCTCACTTTTCTATGTGTTCCACTAATAATTACTACAAGATTTTAATCTTCACCTCATTGATAGTAGAGTAACTTAGCAGCATTCCAATGTTCTTTTTATTTATTTAAACACATAAGCATTGGTACAAGGGGGCATCAAATAGATATGTTTCACACAAATCATTCGGTTTGTGAGAGGGATGAGATACTATTCAGGTGCATGTGGTTTTCTTAAGAGGCTACTCCCTGAGCCTTTGACTTAGAGGACTAATCCAAAAGGCAGTGGAGCAACGTTACGAGTTGGAGTCTCACGGTGGTCGGTGACCAACAGTAGGTTCATACGTCATTTGTTACCTTATGATCCTTGAGTCCTTGTGCATCATTGGCTTAGAAATCAGGGTTTTCCAACTACTCTAGGTGGACCCTCTGTATTCACTATCCCGGTTAAAACACCGGCCATTCGCTTTTCGTCCTCTCAATTCCGTAAACAACATCCCCACCGCAAGAAGGCAGTGAGTAGGACTTCTATATCAGGAGTTGTATACGCGTGGCCATGTGAGAGCATTTAGAGAGAGAGAACTGGCTTTCCCCACTCTCAGCCGTACCATAATATTTGGGGGCAATATTCTTTTTGGCTTTTTCAAATCGTGGTTGTAAGGAATCACGTAGCCCTTCAAGTCTCAAACCGTGCATTCGTAATACTGTCATGTATTGAGATAAGATAGTGGTTGGAGGTGGTCAATAGGAAACCCTGGACCCGAGTTTCGTGCTACTTGGAACTCGTCAGCAAGGTGTACCTGTAGTCTTGAGGGAACTGGTGCTCCCTGACGGATTCGATTCCGCGTCACTCAGCTTCACAGTCAGAGACGTTACCACTGAGCTATTCGGGCCGCGACCGATCCTGACGCGGGATCGAATCCGTCAGGGAGCACTAGTTCCCTCAAGATAACAGGTACACCTTGATGACGAGTGCCAAGTAGCACGAAACTCGGGTCCAGGGTTTCCTATTGACCACCTCCAACCACTATCTTATCTCAATATATAGTGCACGCAGTGTCGAGTCACCTAGACTAGTGGCCACATTTCAACTTGATCGATAGCATTCGATCAGCACTAAGAAGGACTTGACACGCATGACATTGATCACCACCCATTAGTCAATCAATCGTGACTGTCATGTATAAACGGTCGTAGGAAAAGCTGCTCGTTTTTTGTTTGGAGCTCACGAGGATGACCTAAAGTACACCCATTAGTTTAGAATAATATTCAGGTTTTGATATGATGTGAAGCTACTTTGCTAACTTTACGTCTTTTCTGACGACAATTTGTATTCTTCTGAGTCACATTTTTGACATTCATTCATCTATGTCTTTTTCTATGTATTCGTCATCAAAAAAACATTTATTTTAAGTGATGGTCATGAAAAACCTGTTCATTTACTTGTTAGCAAGTGTACGACCGATCTTTATGTGCTCTATGGCTTTATTAACATCAATTTTAACCTGACTACTATTTTCAATCCACGTATGCATTGTGTGGTCTCTGCAATCAATCTTAAGTGTTTTTTGCTATAACGATTCTTCCATGCATGTATTAATATTAACAACCTATCACAACCGTACAGTATCTTATACCTTACGGCGGTAACCATCTCTTCGATGTACTATTAGTAAAGACGTAGTTAGGAAGTAAAATAAAAGGTCGATGTATGTTCTAATCCTCAGTTTTCATAAATTATAAACTGGTGAATATTGCTTGTCTCAAAACAAAGCCGAACAGGTGTTAATTATCAATCGTTGCTTAATTTGTCCTGCTTTTGTTAACCCTAATATGGAAAACCAACTATAGTTGCTTTGATTAATCAGGACTAGCAGACTTCCAAGAATTCTTCGTAAAAAAGTACGTATACCAAATGGGCTATGCTAATGTTATCTCATTTATGAGTACAGATCGATAGCAACCGTTTACCCCATCAGATTAAGTGGTTGTCGTAGGAGTGTATAGACAAGCATTGAGAATAAATAATAGAGAACTATATAAAAACCAGCAAGAATAAGAATTGTTAAATGATATGGAGATGAAAACACATAAGATACACTTTGTTCATTCACAGCCGTAGTTAGATGTTATATCTCACTGCACATAATCAAAGCGCTTTTAAATGGACATTTCAAGATGTTAATCATCAATAGGACATGTGAACAATCCAGATTTGTTTGTCAGAGTGTACGATACGAGATCATATAATATCTTACACTTCTCAAAATTAATATATATATATATATTATATAATATATATATATAATATAATATATATAATATTGTCGATACTTATTCTTTTGCTGCCTTATTTTAGGAAGATGATTTTGATCCAGTACCAGAAATAACTCGTCGTCATTTCGAAGAAGCAATGCGCTTTGCAAGACGCTCAGTGACTGAAAATGATGTACGTAAATATGAAATGTTCGCCCAAACATTGCAGCAGTCAAGAGGAATAGGTAACAATTTCAGGTTAGTGTATATATTCTTTTACCATCTCGTTAATGCAAACTACCTCTAACTTGACATTCGTATTTATCCTCAATGTACTCCACGTTTATTCAGGAAAATCAAATCAATGTTCATGTATTATTAGAAACTCTTAATGACGATGGTGATTTGCAGTTTTAGACTAATAGATTCATATATTTAACGGTACCCCGAAATCTTTTTTTGAACACATCATGCCTGAACAATACTTGAAGCAATATTCCGAAGGAAGCCTCATACAACCAATGAATGACATGCCTCAAAATCGTTTGCAATGGCGCAGGTGCATTGATTCTTTGTTTTTCCCCAAATTACGGGATTCTGAATGTTTTGTTTTTATTTCATTAGTTTATATTTTCTCGGATCATATTTCCCTATTATCACTGATACTGCCACTGCCTCTATTATTCTGGGATTTTCCCTGATGGCTTCATCTCGTTCTAGCGGAGTATGGCGACTTGAACCGATATACATACGTTCTACGGTTTTGACTGATTCCCAGGCAAAACAACAAACTGTACATACACTGAATAAAACTACAAATAAATTGAGATACATGAACTTCCTAACCCTAGTTCATCAACTAGGTTTACCCCAATCATCAATTCGGGAATATTGAAAATTTTAGGTGGTCAACTCAGATAAAAGATGAATACCATGAAACAGTTTTTTATTGTCTGTGTTATTCTGAATAGTAAGAATATCTGTCCCATCGTGATTTATCAACCATATAAGTACTAATTGACAATATATTGTAACTAAAACAACGTCATTTTTCTGAGCAACTTTGGATGATATTCGTTGACTTCATGATTTAACATTTCCCACCTTCCAAGGCTAATTTTACGGACTAGTTGAACCATCAGCCCAACAGGTAATGTGTTTTACTACTTAGTCTAAAGTCTTTATGTGATCCATACAACTGTAGGTTTGTTTAGTAGGAGATAAGTCACGTCTTTTAAAATGTAATGACGATAGTATCTTGAAGTATAAAATAGGGATCCATTGAGTATTTAAATATAATGGGCACATGTTAATTGTAGGCTAAATACATCATCGGACTTATTCTGTATCCTTACATTTAGTTACAACACTGAAACTAATGGCCTCGTAGGTAATATTCGCATATTCAACCATTATATACAACCATGTAACTACAACGTAATTCAAGACTACATTATGATCTCTTATGAGTATTCAAGCATTTCGTTATATATATATATATATATATATATATATATATATATATATCGGCACGGATTCAAAAACTCCGATTGGCTTAGGCGAGATATCTGTTTACTAAAAGACAAGTTTACTGTGAGTTATTTTGTTCCGTCCTATTTTATGAGTGTAAAACGGCCATTAAGAATAGGGGATATTCTTCCGTTACTAGTGTTCAATCCTAGGTATATTCGAAGCATTTCGCGTGTATCTTGAAATCACTTACTAGACGATGCCGGGATTAAGGATATGGTACTAGATAATAGTGTCAAATCGACCGATGAGATAGTAAGTCTTCAACTGATATGGTTGAGGAGTATGTTACGTGTGCGTAGCCATCTCATACCTTGACTGGCTATTGTCTGATGTAGAAATGTGTTGGAACAAATTCAGGGCCATCCGAACCAAATGTCAATCCATGTAAACATCGACTTTTGGACTTAGCCATATAAGTAAATCAAGACTGCTTAGTTGGGATTCACGTGGTTATCGTAGCCATTATAGAAAATTAAATCAATAACTTACACTGATCGGTAAACACTAGAAAATACGGAAAGTGTATAAAGGTTGGTTGAACACAATTTTTGCCAACTTACGTCACCTATGGCGTAGACGAGATATCCGTCTATCAATTAAGGGACGAGTATACTGCGCAGCAGTTCGCTCTGTCCTACTTTACGGCTGTGAAACATGGCCATTAAGAGTAGAAGATACTCGTAGGTTACTAATATTTGACCACAGATGCCTTAGAAATATTGCTCGCATCTGCTGGGATAACCGGGTAAGTAATAGTGAGGTTAGACGCAGGGTATTAGGGAACGATGGTAAATCAGTTGATGAGGTGATGAATCTTCATCGACTGAGATGGTTGGGCCATGTGTTACGTATGCCTGAACACCGATTACCACGACGCGCTATGATGACTAGTGTAGGGGATTGTTGGAGGGGAGTTAGGGGCGGCCAAACCAAAACATGGCATCAGTGTTTGAAGTTACTAACTTCTAGCCTGAGCCATGTTGGCAGATGCAGACTACCTGGTTGGGGTCCGCGTGACTATCGTAACCAATGGTTGGAGACTCTAGGTGACATGGCTCAGAATCGGTCACAATGGCGTAGGTGTATACACTCTTTATCTTCCCTTAAACCTTGAGACTAAAATTGCTTCATATCTCTCTTCCTTCCTGTACTATATCCTTATATACAACCTATAATTTATATACTACTACCAACACTAGATTAACTACTATGAATCCGGTGTTCCTCTTGTTGTGCTAACGAGGTATGGCAACTTGGACCGATGCATATATGTGCCTGGTCCTACGTTGTAGCTGACCTGACCTGAACACAATTTCGCCATTTACCTATTTCTAAAAAGAGAAAGAAAATTACCTAAAATAAAAGTTTTTTAGTTATTTTAGAATTCATTTATATGAACTTAATAATTTAAAGTTGATTAAAAAGAGACTTCGTTTTATTTTCGTTGATAAAAATGTGCTTGTTCACATATTTACATGGAACTATTGTTGTTGAAAGGGCTTAGCTGGTGTATGCTTAAGATTATTTAAAATGGTCGAATTAAACTTGATTAATGACCTTGAAACAGTTAGAACTGACCAATCAGAATGAAGATAGTGATTTTTAAGCAAAAAGGAAAGTGGTTAGCAGTGGAATCCAGGATGTGTGTTTCGTTCTATTTGGGACTCGTCAGTCGGATGTACCTGTATCCCGGAGTTGATGTTTACTCCGGGATACAGGTTCATCCGACTGACGAGTCCCAAATAGCCCGAGACGCGCGTCCTGACTTATGTTTGCCTGGCCCTATGTACGCACGTACCAGTTTCTCCGTTGCGTTTGACTGACTCACGTGTTCGTTCTAAGTTTCATGAGCATCAAATTAGTGTCGCAGAACAGCAGTTATTGTTTGTATGCCACCAACTATATCCGTAAAATATTTATTTTTTAATTCATTTTATACTTTTTCTTAACGCAGATTCCCTGGATCAGATGGTTCTGGAATACCTACAAGTACTGGCGGTCAAGGAGGAGGAGGATCAGTCTATGGATCTCAAAATGATGCAGAAGATTTATACAATTAAACGATTGTCACAACCTTTTACTTTTCAGTTAATTAAAAGCTTTAGGCTCAAGCTATCCTGTGTCATCAATTTTTACCTACTTAAGCTTCTGGTTTGAATTATAATTACCACTTAAAAGTAATCAGTTATGTGACGTCTAACTGATTAATTTTTCTTATTCTTTAAACTGTTCCCTTTGTAATTCAGACAGAATTTGTACCTGGCATATTTCCATACATTTCATGTTATTACTTTCTCATTCTACTCCGTTATTTTTTGCAATGCGTAATATTTTCTTTTACCGTTCTAACATTTGAGATGGGGTTATCACACTTCCATACCTTAAGTAGTTACAAGTGAAGTATCTTTTGAATAAATATTTTCTAGTAGGGTCGGTTCAAGTGATATTTTGGCTTCCAACTCCATAAACTGTAGATCAAATTTTAACGTTGCACTAAAAGTTCTTTTTGGTGAGTAAATGGTTACAATAAAGAAGTGGAAGATTTGAAGTCGATATTCTTTGTGTTTCATTTCAGAATAAGTACTAAGATTTTAAAGAAAAAAATTGAATGTATCGACTCTTACGTTGTAACGATTCTAGAAAGTAGTATATAACTTCCATTTTAGGGTTTGTATTTCTAATTTTATTTCATGTAATAAATACAGACAGCCTTCATTCTTACACTTAGTAACGTTACGAGCCTATCAATCTCATGACCTCAAGTCGTATCCGACAAATTGTTGCATGTACACTAATCATATGTCGATTCCTGAGCTGCTAAATTCTATCTACCGATCACCAATTAACAAGGTGGACAATCTTCAATTCCTATTTCGTCAAAACATAAGTCATAACTGTGGTGTCATCACAAGTCAAGAATCTTAAGTAACTGATTTACAGGACGATTCCTTAGTATCACTGCGTGGTTTCAATATCTATCATCAGGATCGATCATGCAGTAAAAAAGTGTGGCGGCGGTCTACCTAAGTTTGTAAACAGGAACTGGTGTCAATATACTTTAACATGTTTCAAGTTTTCATATGACTTTATCTACTGTCTAACTTTAAGATGCCGTCCGAAACACTGGAACAAATACAAGTATGTTTGTTACCAATATCTACGCGACTTCAGACTTCACTATCTGTTTTCGCGAACAAATCAGTGGTTCACTTTCAATTGTATGTGGTGATTTCAACTCGCGACAGTAGCTTCCATTCATCACTAGGTCATCTAAGTGTAGTATATTCTCCCACTCGTTTCGATACCTATTTAGACCTCGATTTCAATAATGATTTGGATATATATGTGACTCATAAACGTGCCCCAATTGTCTAACTGGAATCACTGTATAATTCTTGTTCTACCTAAAATATGCGGGAAGAGTGCTCTCTTACGTCAGACAAAGAAAATCGAATTAGTCAGAAAATAATTGAAATCTGAAAAGCATGTTTCGTATGACTAACTGGGAATTATTTACACATGACTCACTGGAAAACACCACTGATATTACCACTTCGTTATCTTATATTCTGTTTTTATATTTGTCCTACTGAAACCACTTTTTAAAGTTTTGACCGACCTACATTTCACAACTTAAACGACTACGAGGGGTAAAAGGAAGAATGTACAAGCTAAATAGTCTAAAAAACCTAGAGATTAGACGTCTCAACTCTATATTTGCTCAAAAACTCAAGTATGTGGGAACTAATCAAATTACAGGTGACAGGTTCATTATTAGCGATAACCAGCTGAATGTTTATGACTTAAATTATTATTTTATACGTCAGTCATGCCCCCCCCCCATATCCACAGGTTTGAAGAATAGTTGTGTTCCTATTTTCACTGAAAATGATGTTCGAAAATGTCTCCAGTCACTTAATTCATCCCACTGTTCAAGACTGGATGATATCCTAAAACTTTTAAAAAATGTGCAGACGCATCATGTTACCCATTCACCAGTATCATTAACAGATCTTTCTTAACTAATGTCATGCTGAAAATGTGGAGAAAGATAAAGATGATCCTTATACCTAAGAAAGATCTGGTGATAAAAATTTGAAATTTAGACCCATAGCAATAGCTTCACCTTTCTTCAAATTAATGGAAAAATTATTGATACTCCCGCTTCAACCTGCAATAAAAGAACACAGTGTTCCGTATCAAAAGAAGCACCTTAGATGCCGTTGCTGTTCTGCATCACAATATAGTGTTCCGCTTGGAAAGAGTAAGGAGTATGTTCGATGCGCTTTTCTGGACTATGATTTTGCTTTTGATTCTATTCCAAGACACCTTTTACTTAACAAGCTGATCAGCGTCAACACTGACAGCTGGGTAACCAATTGTCTATGTTCCTACCTTTCTGGAAGGGAACAGTACGAAGCAGTGTGAGACTGCTTCAGAACAATTTGCCGTAATGCTTTTGGAACAACGATTTTGTTACTGAAAATAAAACATGAATATATTATCATAAGTGAGTCATGTCGGCAAAAGTATTGTAGCAGTTATCAAACGGCATCACAAGGTAATCGTTAACTTGGAATCGTGAAGGGAAAGTGGAAGGCCGAAAAACACACTGCTCCGAGGGTTGGAAGCAGAAATGAGAAGATTGAATAGCAACTGGGAAGAATTACCTATGAAAGTGTTGGATGGAGACTGCTGGTGAGCGGTCTATGCTCCTCCACAAGTGGTAACAGGCGTTAGTATGTCCAGTATCATTATACTGGTGTGTTCATAGAAGACAGTCGTGAATAACATAAAATGAAAATTGAACTCTAATAAATATCACTTATCCCGTAAATGAAAGAACAATAAACTTGAATTCCTAAATAAATACGATTAGTAAACATTGAAAACGTTGTGAATAACACCATCCATATAAAATCACTCACGAACGTGAAGTAAACTTATTGTATTGAAAATATTTCTATTGGATGTTATATCAGACCTATTTTTAAGAGAAATAAATTTCGATCTACTTTTTTTCATTTATTTTGTAAACCCGGTAACGTACATACGAATTTCAGAAAAAAAAAAGATTATTTACATTGGGATTTGATCGTCATAATAGTCGTTATTAAGCAAAATATATTGGTCATAAATAGAAGTAATTTATTTTGATTTTCAACAGATTATTCGGTAACATACGACTAAGGTTTGATAAAATCTGGTTGATTTTTTTTCATTATTAGTTGCCTAATTTTCTCTTCAATTATTCGAATACATTAACAACAAACACAAAAACACATTTGATAATTTTGAAGATGTTGCTTCAACTTAAATTTCTTTTCACTCCGCCAGATATGCTCTGACTCAGTCAGTCTGTTATACACAACGTGTAACCTGGAACATGTATACATGGGTTCAGATTGTTACATCCCATTAATACAGAGAGATGGAATTATCAGGATATATCCTAGAATAGTTGAGGTAGTAACAGTATTCATAACAATACGAAATATCAGATATTTAAAATACGAATTGTGAAATATGAGTGAGTAGAATAAAAAAAATTTGGTAAGATAATTGCGAAACTTATAATACAAGGAAGAATAAAGAGTGAATGAACTTACTCCACTGCAAAAAATCTTGTCACCCAACATCTCTAACCACTGGTTACAATAGTCGTGCGGACCTCAACCAGATAGTCTGCACTTTAAACATGGTTCAGTTCAGTTGCCAATGTCTTCATGAACTGGTGTCAAGTCTTGATTTAGCTGGCCCTGGCTTTCATCTAACCTACTCCTACATCAGATGACATAGCCCGTCAAGATAGTCGGTGATTCTTTAAGTATAATACACATCCTAGCCATATCAATTGATGAAGATATACAATCTGATCAATGAATTCGCCGATTTTATCTAGCTCTGGCTAATCACATGTGGAAAATATTTAGATGAATTTCTCTGAAATAGTGTTATCATTGTTAAATATATATCAATGAAGAAGTATTATTTATACAATAATTTAGGATTTAAATAACTTATTGTATTTGAAAGTTGAAAAAACGAAATGAGTGTGCTCATAGTGTCCAAATTTATAACTATTCATCCAATTGATATTGATAGCCGCCTAATTAACCATAAAGTCAATTGGAATGATTAGTTAGCTTGAGTCATCAGTACAGAATTGAACAAGAGACTGATAGAAGAAGCAGATTAATCCGAGACTTTTATGAAGTGATATTGATAAATGATGGTTAATATATCAATAAAGCATTTAAAAAAGGCGCATAAAGTCGATCTACATTTATCTTGTAAAAAGTAACATTCATCAAAATGTGTTTCTTGACTTAACTCCAAAAAAGACACTTTAAATCTGTAAAATTTACTCATCTGATCATAAAGTTACGTGTTGGTTGTTGTGGTCTGTACTAAGCCTTAATCCTGACCCATTGTCTTCATGACTGTATTCACCACACAATCGATAAGTCACAATATACTCTCACTTTCACAAACCCTCAAGCTGAACACTAGAAAGTCGAGTGATTTGTTACTCTTTTGTTTTATTACTCAAGTTCATGATTTACCTGACTGAACGAGCTAAATACATGGCCAAAATGTATCATAGTTTATAAATTCCAATACATAACTAGCTATGATACATTGAAAACAAAGCTGAGTGACAAATTTATATTCCGCTGACTGTGAAAAAAAGTACAAACAATCATTGGTTGTATGCTCGTAATGTCCTTAATTAAATAGTTGGACTGATACGTATTCGGAGGTATATAACGAACTTTATTTTATGTCTATATTAGTCACCTATTTGTTTTAGCCAGCTGTATTAAATCAAGGTAAACTGATTCAGTCATAAGGTCTGTCTTCATTCTTGGTAATTTAAACTAATCAGGGAAGTTATAGACAATAACATCTAAATCAATGATGACTTTCAACGGTTCTTAGAAGGACCTTGATTAATCACTCAAATACTACCCAATCGGAATAAGCCCTATGTAAATCAAATTAACATTGTGAAAAAACAATAAAATTGAAAAGAGTCTAGTTTTGGAACTCTAGGATCTTAACTGTATTATCATAGACGTAGCACTCTTAAACCTAGCCATCCTAACCCTAAACATCTTAAACCTAACACTTCGAACCACAATACTCCTAATACTGTTATACTGAAAACAGACTGATCTCTGAAATCTGTGGTTCCTCTTCATGTCATATCCTGACTACAACTTCACAAGATGTATCCTTGCAAAATTATGTAGGTGATCTAAGACCATATCACCATCCAAACTAAGCAAAAAGAGAAATCTCGCCAAAAACATGACATTCAGAAGTATTATCTTAAAGCATGAATGTTATTTAAGTTTGCTCTAATGATATTACTTTTTTTTCGCTTGGTACAGGGCCAGCAAGATCTTCATGGAGCCTCTCCCCTTAACTGTTCAGCTTTGGTCATTGTTGTGGTTCACTTTTCTTTGAACTTATAGGTGCTTGGAGATACGATGAAAAATTGTGGGATCTAATTTTCACATCCTGATCCACTGAAAAGCAGGAAGTA